AAAACTAAATTCTTGGTTATAAGTTAAAACCCAAACGTCAACACTAAATGAAATAAAAACGGTCCAAAAATACAAATGTCTCGGTTCAATTATAAATAATCAAATGGATCCAAACGAAGAAATCAAAATTAGAGTAGAAATGGTCCGAAGTCATTTGTCAAGTACTACTCAATGTTTGCAAACAGATGTCTAAACCTCCACATGAGAATTAGGTTTGTGGAGTGCTATGCGCCATCATCATTTCAGATATTGTTTTATGGACGCATCTTAAAAATACCCTGGACGGACAGAATCACCAATGAGGAAGTGCTAAGACGCATTGGACACTCAGAAAAACTGTTGACAATCATCAACATCTTACATAGGACGCATTTTACGGAACGACAAATACCTATTAAACGTGCTTTGGTTTAATTATTAAATACCAATAATACTATAAACTGATCGTAACTTTTCTAATTTTACATTGATTTGGAGATAATTGTTATTTAAACGTACTACTTCCGTTTTAATTGTAACAATTACTTTTCTAAAATTGGTAAAGCACATTTTTTCATTGATGCAAACGAACTAGAACAGGTGGAGGAAGTAAATAAATGACACAAATTGGAGTCGACATTACCGTTCAAGTAGGAAATACGGTAGTGAACTTCCTCTACTGCATAGGAAATTGCTTTCGAGACAAAACATACGTGTGCCGCTTGCAACACAATTTCTATAAAACACTAAATACCTAAATCTACACCGTGTAACGTGTACCAGCTAGCTTTTTTGTTTGACTATTACGCAGGAATTGGGAAGAATTAGATCCCCTTTTTTATTATCAATCGTTCATTGTTTGAAAAGTAAAAGCTGAAATGTCCCATTTTTGCATTAACTAATTTACTTTTTGTTTTCGCTACTCCACGTTGTTCTTCTAGGATCTTGGAGGACACGATTTACTTAAAGGAGATCAATAGTCGGCTGTATTCCAGCCTTAAGAAAGTTAGGTAATAGAAAAAATGACTTACTACTTATTCTGGGTCTGATATTATCTCTGGGTTTGACAGGACTCGTCTTTTTGACTTCGGAAATGATCCTTGGAGTCCCAGCATTTTGAAAATTAGGAAGAGACGACGCAACAAGCATGTTGGGCGCACAGTTCAAACTACGCTAGTCATTTTCACTCAAAAATCCCAATTAGCTCAATAATAAGTACCTAGTTGACATTTGTTTCAAAACACATTTAACATGTCCACAAGGATACTTTCAACCTGTCATTTCCGCAAACCCGCTCGGAAAATTGTCCTCTTTAAAGGGAAACAGTTGCAAATAACTTGTTGATTGTCACACTTTCTTTAAATCGATGGACAAACGACCTTACCGATTGATTCGCGTTTGGTAATTATCGTAATAACTGAAGATGAAACAGTTTACAACAAGCACTCACTTGTTTCATTCAAACACGCAAGTTTTGTAATGGAAATCGTTCGTCTAGCGTAAGACTGACTAACTGCGAGTATAGTATCTATGGTTGGTACGTACGTCCTGCCTCCTTTCAACGGCAAAACAACACGCCGACTGCGACAAACAGACAAGAGACTGAAAACTGAAACTTGGAGAAAATGATACCAGTGAGAGGACTGGGGGTAATCATATTTTAATCGCGGTATTAGCCTGGGGCTATAGAGCGAACTGTCTACGACAAAAAGTATACGTACGGCTATCGAAGTTATAGTAGGGGAATATAATATGGTACACCGTCTATACGTATTCTTACTTTGTTGATGCTATTATTCGCTAATAAATTGACTATTATATTGTTGGTGTACGATTTTGTTGTTTTTTGTTTCCGATTTTTTGTTGTTTCATATTAAGCAAACACAACATTATACCGAATTTCAAATAAAAAAAATTAACCGAACCGCCTGGTACAGTTTAAGGATGCGTACTTATCCTTTTTTACAACAGACTTCGAATACGATTAATAAAATTTAAAAAAAGTTCATTTTAAATATTATAAGTATCTATCCGTTTATAAGCACGTCGTTATATTTGTTTACAGCATCTTTTCACTCACCACAATATGTAATTAGTTACCTAACTAGGTACCTACCAACTTTTTTTAATTAAAAATTGGTACCAACTTACTGCTTTGCTGTATAAAACCGGATTATCGTAGTAGAAAATGTACAACTTATGAAAAACAAAATTACGTTAACGATTAAAAGTATTAAACATTATTAATCATTATTTTATACAGTGTATTTATTTAAACATGAGCATAACATATTGTAATATTCACTACGCGGAATGTTATCCACACTTTAGGAACAACATGCAGGGACAGCTGCGGTGTCCGAGTGGTTAAGGAGATGGACTTGAAATCCATTGGGTTCTGCCCGCACAGGTTCGAATCCTGTCCGCAGCGTTCACTTTTTTTCATTGGTTTAACGAATTTAGTTATTAAAAGTACGCGAAATTGTAAAGGTTTTCATGTATACGCGCGAGTCTGTATGCATGCAGTATAATTATTCTTTCAATTACACATCAAGTAAAATAAATATTTTACAGCTTTATAGATACATACCTACATCATATTGTATAACGCAGATTGTTATTCTAACAATAAATGCCATTTGTATCTAAAGAATCAATTAAACGACAAATTAGCATGGACAGATAGCTAAAAGTAAACTGTGATGCATGATTTTAAATCACGACGTAGACATGTTAAATGGTGTTGCTTTGGAATACAAAAAGAAGAAAGTTCGTAGAATAATGCCTGAACAATAAATGTATGTAAATCCATGTTATGGGTGTGACAGATCTTTAAATATGTATGTAGGTAACGTTAACAAAGCAACCCCGTTACAGAGCACCATACATCTCACACAAGCATTAAACGTTGTTTAGTCTTTTTTTTGAGATTGATTTATTTTTGTTATACTCATGGTAACTCCTGTAGAATATTAATGTTTTTTGATGATTAATAAATAAAAATGAATCTGTTGATAAGGCCTGTAGGTAGATGGTTTACTAAACAGCCAACATGTTTTTTGCTTTCCGAATTATTTTTGGCATTATGGGTAGACATAGTAAGTATGCGGCTGTCCAAATGATATGCCACATAAGGGGAAATCTGGTAAAAAGCTATCTTGAATGAAAGCCTATGGGGTTCATACCTGATCAATACAGTTTTAATTTTTTTCTGTATTTATTTGAATTAATCGTCCCTTTTGGTACTTTAAGGGCAAATCTAATAAAAGAATTGAAGGAAGACGAAACGTGGCTCTTATTTATTATTTGTCCTTTATTTATCATAAAGTGGCGGTAAAAAAAGAAGAATTTGTCAAAGGAATGATAAAAAGAAATTGAAGGTATTGTAATTCTATGCCGGTAGTGGTTTGCCACCCACTAACACACTCGTGAGAAACAATACTTCATATAATACAGGAGACGCGTGAGATCCTTATTTAAATAATTCATTTTAATAGTATTATCTTTTCTAATATAAAAGTTTTTTATAAGCGATGCCTACTATAAAAACGATTCCAAAAAAGAAAGTGCCTATGTACCTAAGTACGTCGTCCTATAAATTAAATAGAGAAAAAGATTTTGATAGCCAATTTAATTTTATTTTATTCGTCTTTCGTTTGAGCGGTTTCGTCCTGGATAATAATACGGTGTGACAAAAATAGGGACAACAATAGCTTCAAGATTTATTAACCTTGTTCACGGTTGTGACGTCACAACTGCAGGGTGTTTCACGTGACTAGTATTTGTGCACATGTTCCCTAATATCGAATTTATCCTGTGGGAGTCCTTTGTCTCTAATACAGTCGCAAAGAGCGCCAATATAACCAACGCAGAATAAAGATGGTTCTTGTTGAAAACTGCCTCTTTGATATTTTTAATGTACCTAATCTTTTATTAAAATGAGGTGTTTAATATGTTTTATTATAAACAGTAGTGTACTGCAAATTGCATACCTTACTATGATCAATTTTATCGATTTACGATTTTATTAAAAATACAACTCCCATTATACAACTGAACTATTGGAGTGTAGTTTAAGTTGCCTAACTCAATTAATATAATCTTTTCGTAATTACGAATTAAGAGTAACTAAATAATGTTGCCTAAACGAAGTTCTAAAATAATATATTTCACAATTCCGTGGTCACAATTGGCGAATATAATCTATAGAAAGTTTGAAATGATTATAATCAACTTTTAAAAAGTGATTTTATAGAAAGTAGTAAGTAATCTATACTTAAATGAATTAACATTTCTTTCCAAACTAAAATAATTTGAAAATAGATTGTTATTTGATAGCAGCAGGCGTTACGTATTGAACCTCCAATACAATTTAACAAAGAATAGATGATGTATTAAAACTATCCGCTTTGCGATTAGGATAAAATTTAAAATTTCTATTACGTGAAGGAATAAAATTTTTAAAAGTAAATCTAGATTTGGTTCGATATCCTATCAGCAGGAGAATTAATTAATTCTCCGTTTATAGAACGAGGGTATTGGCAGAATGCTAACGTCAAACCAAATTAGAAACAGAAATAATTGATTGGTAAAAGAGTTTCGCAAAGTTTAATACAAAAAAATCATGCTATTATTAATTCTGAATTCTGAAATCCTTGACAATAGTTTAATTAACAATCCTTCGAGTATATTGACGTCAATTTGTAGAATTATTAAAAATTCGAATTGTCACCTTCCTACGCCGAGTAATTTTGGTTTATTTTGATTTCTATTCGCGTAGGTATACAGTTTGCAAGTATAATAGGCCGCAACTGACGTTAATCTTTATGGATCATTCAGGTCCTTTGATGAATCAGATCAAAGCCCTACCTGCGAATTGCGTGTATCCGCCTCCTAAATCAGTGTATTGCAAAAATTGGCGAAAAACCCTTTCTAACTGGATACCGCGCATGGCAGCAGCTCGCAGAGTTGCCTATCGAACCGTCTCGCGGATCCCGCAGTACTTGGATTCAGTTCGTGTAGTCGCGAGCTGTCTCATTTACACATACATTCGCATTTGCCCGAACCAAATGATAATGCCAATGATAATACATATGTCTCTCTCTCTTCCAAACGCGAATCAACATGTATGTCCGTTTCGTTTTAATCGCTAATAACGGGTGCCAAAGTTGATTATCTATGTAGCAGAAGATTGTCAAACGTTTTGTTAAAACACTAAGTGAAACATTGTTTGCTTTCCAAGTTAACGTGCTTAATTAGTTAAAGGTCAGTTTTATATTAGTATCTGCATACTTAATAACAAATTATTGAAGTTACTTCCTTTTGGTACCAAGTTTGGTACCTCCCTACTCGTATGGTTACTTTCTTTTGGTACCGAGTTTGTTACCCGCTTATTTGTATGGTAGCATACAAAACTTCATTGATCATAAGAAATGACTGTTCAAGTTTTGAACGCTGGGCTTTTTATTATATTGTAGTAACGCTTTAAATATGTACGTAATAAAAATGATATAAGTGAAGATAGGTTTTAAGGACTGCGATATTATAGTGAAAATAACTTTTGTGTTAGACATTGAATTACAATGCTACCTACAATACCTACTTTTATGGAGTTTTGGAACAAAATGCTTAATTTTAAAACATATTTCAAGGAAAAGAGCAAAAAGGATTCGTTTATTGTATTAAAGCTACCAGGAGTACATATTAGTACCTCGTTTATCAAACGTGAAATATCGATGCTAACTTTATAGCGTACTGGTATTGACAAAATAATTATTATAATTAGGTAGATAAGACTTCGTCCGTCTATTCATCGAACAAGAAATTGCTACGGAATATCTCTATTATTGCCGGAGCTATGTTTACAAATGACAATTGTTTGATATTGCAGGAAGCCCTTAATCAAAATGCCTCAGGGACCTGCGACGAATCCTTTCATGAAGCCTTTTGTCGTTCTAGCGTTACCAGGAATGTATCTGGTATACAAATACAACCAATACAGACGTCGGAAAAAAGAAAACGCGAGAAGAAAGTTGACCGAAAGGGAACTACAGCATCTGAACAATAAAATAGTAAGTGCTTTTTATTTTATTTGTATGGTCGAAACATTTCGTATTGTCTGCAATTTTTAAATTTCGCCAGACGAGTCAATAATGTAAAGACATGTGATTTATTGAGGTTTTAACCAATACACTAAATGGAATTTAGTCAAAATTAGAGAAGTAGATGGTATCGTATTACCTATCTATATACGACATAGGTACATATAAATAAAGAAAAGTCCTGACTGACACTCATCAGCGCACAGGCTAAACCCTTAAACCTGGACAGCCGAAATTTTGCATAGAGGTTTCTTTCTGATGCATACAAGGAAACAAGAACAATATTTCGAAATTTAACCATTAAGGGGGGGGGGTGAAAAGGGTTGGCAAAATTTGTATGGAACATTTTTGTTTATGGTCAGATTTAGTTGAAACTTAGTCTGGAAATCAATGCTCTTTGATGCAATTAAGCAAACACGTATTTTGGCAATTTTAAAAATCAACCTTCAAGGGGTACAGTGGAGTAAGGCTACGTTTGTATTAGGAATGTAAGATGCGAGTTCATACAAAATTAAAACTGTACAGGGGTGAGCGAGAGATTAAACGGTCGTATGACTAAACAATACCTTAATTAATTAATTAAGGTATTAAACGGTTTTCTGCCCGAAAGAAGTCCCGGGTAAAACCTGGTAATATAATACAATAAAACCTTAAAAAAAAAGGTTAAAAAAAATCGTGCAAAATAAATACTTGTAAATACCTATTTTTATGACAATTGCTGTATTCTTATAAATGTGTTTAAATGGTATTGAGAAGCCATGATGAGAAAACTAAACACTATGGACTTTGATTTGGGATGGGTTAATTATTATAATATAATTTTGATTCATTTATTATTAAGAATATTTATTTAATTATACACTTTAAGAATTTCGATTAGTATCAGTTAATTAATAACAATAGTTACCTATTTATGCACTTTAAAACACATCACACATCACCACCAAATGAAAAGTCGTTACCACTGCAGTTGATAACTGACGACTAAATTTTGAATTTTAACGGTTGCGATTTCTATAGTCGCCAATAATAATAAGTATAAGAACGAATAGTAAGAACTACGCGCGAATTTCAAATTCAAATAGTTAAGTGGCATGCTTATTACGTAATATAAAATGCAGAATAATAATTATTGTGTATTATGGTATGTTCTAAATTTGAGCGGATTACGATTTTTTACAGTTAGTAATATAGTGTCCTTATAAATCTTAAGTAGTTAAAACGTTTGCGTGTGTAATTTTCAAATTCTCATACTTATAGTCTGTGCGATTTTTAGGTAAAGGTATAACGTAAACGTAAATGAAAAATGTAAGTACCTGAGGGTTAGCCATAAATTTTAATTTGAAGACTTTTATTTCTTTCTTTTTAAATTACCTTGTTAAGTACGGCTAGTACGTAATGATGCTAAAAATAAGAAGAAAGGGCAAACAAGTTTCCTGATAATAATCAAAAGGAACTGTTGCAAATAATCTACAATTTGAATTCGTTTCCAATTTTAATACTTTTGTTACAAAAATATGTTAGACCTTTTAAAGCACGTCAACTCCAAAAGCCATCATGGTGTACTATATATCAAATTGTCGTCATTCTCCGTCCGTAAAAAAGAATGCGGAACGATCGGTCTCACCTTAAGAGTACATTCTTTATTGTGAAAATTTGCGTTCTTGCAGACGAGTATTTCGCGTCTATATGTGCAGAATATTTAAAAACATCGAAAAAATTCATCGTGACACTGTTCATGTGACTAAAGGTAGAGGGATCCTCATCATCGTAAAGTCATCAGCCTGAAGATTGGTTGAATTCGCACTTTTGAAAGGTAGAGCAACCTATATCTCTAACTATTTGCCAACAGTAATCTAATTTAGATCTGATTTTGCCCCTTTTAACTCCTGTTACTGCTTCTAATATGTCCCTAACTAACACTTTATGCCCCAGAAGGTGTTCTATCAACCTATTGACTACTGTAACACCCGATACCCTCTTTTCTCATACTCTATCTAATATCTCCTCATTTTTAACCTTTTTTTAACCACTCCCGGAACTCAAGGCTCTTCTGGGTCAAATTGAGTATAACATCTAAAACGGCGAGGCCCTTTTTTCGGCCCTTACAAAAAAATGCTAGATGTGACCCTGACTGTTTTTTTTTTACAAATCTTATGACGATAAAATGACAATAAGAGAAGTAGCAGCCAGACTAACATTACACTACGAGTTAACAATACACAGGCGACCAGATTCACGCGCCGCCCCTGATTATTATTATTATTGTAGAACACATCTGCTTATCATCTGAAAACAAAAGATAAAACTCATGAGCGTGTTGTAGTACAAGAGCGTAAAATTGAAAACGTTGCCTCAAGTTTATTGTTTCGTTTCTCTTCAAGCGGTGCATGAGTTAGAAAATTACCAGCCAGTGGGTAGGTGAAAGCATGGCATAGTAGGCTCTTCGGCATCTTTTGTTCTTCCCTTTTTTTTTTTGTTATTACGAAATGCCAAGAGCTACTGTGACGGTTTGAAATGAGCGCTCCTCCTTCTTGTGGTGGTTGGTACTACTGTACTGAATGAGCCATCTGTTAAGTGGATGAATGCTGCGCCCTATTTTCAAAGGAGAAAATGATTTCGAAAATCTTTCTAAGCAGAAAATGTGCAGCATTAACGTAAAGTATGTCTAATAATAATGATTGCGGTTGAAGCAGGTTAATTCTTACTAAGTTCGTTACCATATTTAAATAATGATTAATCAATGTTCCAAGGGAAGAAATTTAGATGAAATATTGATGGTTTATTATACTCTATAAAAGGGATGGCGAACCTTTACGTATTCACGTGCCATTTTTATTAAGAGAAGTTTCATCAAGTCATAGACGTGCCATGAAATAATTTTTTCTCTGTAATTATTGGGAAAATAGTAATAATAAATAATATCAACTCAAAATTCTTTATTTACTACAGAAAAATGGGAACATTTTGCAATGTTTAAATTATGCCTATAATTAATAAAATTAGTGTAACTTCTGTTATTGCAGATTAGATGATAAATAACTTATGTTAGGGTTAGAAAATACTATAAATGGCGTGGTGAGCGCCATCTGTAGTACGATGCTACATTTGAGGATTACATATGCTCCAACAAGGTCCATTTAAAAATATGGATATCTACTTGTTAAAACGAATCCCGGCGTAGCTCACTGCTGCTGTTAAGACAGCAGGTAAAGGTTGGTATGTGTTCTGTCGGAGCTGCCTGCGACGCGCTGATGAGATCCAAAAAGATCGAAATCGCGATCCGCGTCTTGCAGTTTCGACAGAATACAGACCACTTCGAATTATTTTGTTATGTTAGGGTTGTAAGATGTTTATTTTAGCAAAATGCTTGCTGAACTGGAGTCATCTGTCAAACGGTTTCTAACCGAGTGTTTAATGTTATTCATCTCTGAAAATAACGACTCGCAGGCATAGAGGTTGATGAAAACATTGTTAAAATAGCATAAGTCAAATAATTAAATGTGTTTGGTAACGCATTCCATGTTTCCAAAATTTTGTTATTAGAATTTTCACTTGTACTTGAATTGGGACAAATTCAGTTTTGACGCCACATCAGAGTACATCGTAAACTTGAGTATTTCTGATAATTCTCTGAACTGAGAAAATCTCGCTGAACATTCTTTGATTAAAGAATCAATCACAGAAATATTAGTGACGAGCCCAAAACATTGTGTCGCGTACCACTAATGGCACGCGTGCCATTGGTTCGCCATCCCTGCTCTATAACATCGTTTCGATGTATGCGATCATCAGCAAGGAAAATAGATCGAAATGAAGTTTTTCTTTATTTCATTCAATATTATTCTTTTGGGTTAACTTGTTCCACAATAATAACTGCTCCCATGAAAGTTTATAAATTTTTCTTATTCAAAAGGTATAGTTGGAGCGATCAAAACTGACAAAGTCCGCAATAAATTATATGTGAGAATGGACGTATCTTCTTTCTTGCTTCCACTTGGGACTGTAGTCGTTTGCTTACGTTTCGAACACGCCCTTATTAAGTTAGAAGTTGCTTATGAGTAGTACAGACAAAGTAAAACGAGATCGGGTCGGAAAATTTAATTGACATAGTCAAGATGGAAAAAATTGTATTTTCGTTTTTTATAATCAAGACTGGAGGCTGGAAGGAAAATTTTTTTGAATCATGAATGGGGATAAATATAGACGAGACAGTCAAAGTGAGTAAAATGTCTTCTGAAAATCGTTATTTCTGGAAAACACTTCATGTTTTTCTCCCTTACTTTTTTTCGGCATTCGAAGAATTCGTCTTTAGACGGTTTCGTGTCTCTAAAGCCTGCATGATGTAATTTTCTAAAGATTTGTTGTATTTTTAGCCAGAAGGAGGGAACACGCCCTTACTACGTGAGAAGTTGCTTATGAGTAGTACAGACAAAGTAAAAAGAGATAACCAAACAATAGTAAGCCGTGCAGCGGTATGAAGTTGCTTAGGTACACAAAAGATCATGGTCGTCTTTATAACTACTCGGTTGGAATTATATCTTAAACAAATGTCTTCACATTCCTAAATTCCTGAGAATGTTGAACTTCCTTTAAAGTCCGATGCTCAAATTGTACTTGTCTGCATCTCTTTCTGTTACACATTAATTAGTGTAATGTTATTCCTTTTTCTTTATTAGTGTCCGCTGCAATTCCTTCCTGGCATCTCTTTTCTATGTTTACGATATTCCCTATAATGTCTGTAGTGAGTAAAAGTAGGCGTTCTGTCAGCAACCGCTGTAATCTAGTTAGTAACTTTCATAGACCTCTCTGTTCTCCAGCTTTTTCAAATACCTCCACATTACAACTGTATATAAATTTTTTGTTTCTAATAAGACACCTACTTACCCTTAGTTTTTGCCACACCTTCCCTTATTTTGATTAAACGAGGAACCTGAATCTTCCGCAAGATGTTTAGACAATTTGTAATACATATTTTTTTTATAGGAAACCTTGAAACTTAGTTCGATAAAATTCTATTACCCGGTTCATCATTTTTTTGTATCTAGAATATTCTTGGCAGTAAGCGCTACTAAAACTCTCATATTAAACGGTAACAATCATTTTATGGTCACATTTTCAAGCGTAAAATTGGTATTTGAAGATTTCACAGAATGATTTAATATTCAGATATTCAATTCGAATGATTGTACTTCACAAAATGGGAAAACCTTTAAGATAAACTGAACTAAGAAAAAAAAAAAGTGTAAAACTGAAATTAATCATGCTGGTAAAAAGGATGTATAGTACCAACCATAAATATTTATCTACAAGAAAAGTAAGCCGACGTTTTTGTAGTTAATCGAGAAAAAAATAGCCGTTATTTTATAAACCTACAGTTGTAACATAGTTACATCTGAAAATTGCTATCGAAGGATTTCCTTTGATACCTATAGTACTTATCTATACATTCTTTGTTGTTTCTGTTCAGCCACAATATGGGGAACATCTTCCGCCATCTTGAATTTTTCGTAAAGTCAGTTCAATATGACATCTTACTTACTAAAACTGATTCAGTGTGCAATGTTGTTTAATGCATATGAATAAGTAATTTGATAAAAAGAATTAATTTAATAAAAAAGGAAGACACCACACAAAATCATAAACAATTTATTCGATTAAAAAATTACTTAATTTTGACATTCACCAGTGTAATATGATCCTTCTTTTCGTAAAAACTCTTCTGCTACATATTCCCTATGGGCTAATACCAGCACCATTCGTTCTAAAAACTGCAGTTCAAAATTTGTCAAAAACGGTACACCGAAATTATGTATTACTCCGTCCCGTCCTAATTGAACAGTGCATGTTAAGTATCTATAAATAAATAAAATATGAATAAAGTTGTAGACACCAACTGCAATAATATAATTAGTATTTTTTGTTTATTTAAACACTGGACCAAATTGTGTTGGGAGACGATCGACAATTTAAACAAAAAGTTCTTGATGGTCACTATTCTTTTTAAAACCTCAAGACTTCAAAGTGGAAATACTTAAAGTAAAACTTTCTGGTGTGGATAAATTGTGTCTTGGCTTTGGAATCATGGTCTCATTTGAGGTATCTACATCGAGACCAATATCTCCTTTCCACCACCAAAAAGCATATATTCTAAAGAGTGATGCTTATTATTGTATTGCATCACTTACAATTTACTAGCAATTAAAGTGAACAAAATCAATGCATGTAAATTTTGAACCAAGCTTAATTTTCATCTAACATCATTTTTGCCATTTGGGATCATTTCTGTATATAAATTGATTGTGCAAGTCCAAAATGATTGATTTTGTTTATCGATTTTGAATCAACCAGATAATTATCAACAACTTGGTTCTTACTTGCAACTGGGAATGAAACTTTGCCTTATGAAGACCCTGGAAAGGGCAGTTGTATCGCCACAATAGCCAAGTCCAATGAGTGATATGAGTCTTGAAATTCCAAATGATTCCATCAGATACGATCCAGGGGGTTTGACATAACATTGAGTAGTTATGGGACAATCTTGTTCGTCCAACTCTTTGAATTTACAGCACAATGCTCTCTCCTCTGATTCCCAACATTCAACAGGATAACCCTGTGCGAATAATGGAACAGCACAGTCCATGTCTGGCCCTCCCGTGACTGGAGTGTGTATAACCTCGGGGTCCAACTCGTTGTAAATTCCCAAGACAGCATTTGCTTTTGTCTTTCAATATTGTAATAATTTTAGGTTATGTTTGAATTCAATTTATCATTTGAGCAAATGAGTCAGTGTTGATAGAAACACATCAGGTTTTGTTGAAAATAGATATTATAGGTACTTACCACTGGAACCATTGGCGAACCTATTATTTTTCCGGGGTGGTACCAGGGAGTTCGTCTAAATACGCTCGATACCAACGGGAGAGTGCAAGACACCGGGGTGGCGCATACCAAAACTATTGCCTTAGGGTTGTATTTGATTATAACTTCTGTTAAATTGATTAGCCTTCTACCTTCATTGTAAAATATTTCCAACCAATGCGTTTGTGTACTTAATGTATCCATTCCCATGAGAGCAATAATGTCAGCTCCCTCAAAACAATATTTACCTAATAATTAAGGTCGAAAAATGGTAAACTTTTGCTATTTGAGGTTTAGTTGAAAAAGAGATCTCTCTGATTGTTTAAAATCGATGATGCCGAATTCCCTCCCGGGTACTAGCCGAGTTCCCTCCCGTTCATATCAGCTCCGATAATTAAGTTAACGACTACTTACCGATTTTATTTATCGAAAATAAATATATATTTATAGTGCACTTCAGTACTTCAGTAAAATAAAGATAAAATAATTTTAGAAAGAAAACACATATCAGTTATGAAATGTTTATTTATTTAATTTTAAAATGGTTTCCCACTACCTTAACAAATTCAATGTTTGGAAATTCGTGTGCGTCTAGCTTTTTGATGCATTCATCTAGAAAAACTTTATTAGTTCTAGTTTGTTTTGTATTTGACCAATAGAAGGGTAGTCTGATAAAATTATTATTGTTATTGTGGTGTCTATAATATATGAATAATATTAAGATTAATATGTGATGTGAGGCTGTATTATTTAAACAACTCTTTATGACTTTATAGTAGCAATTAGCACTCAAGGTCATCCGCCGCCGTTGGGAGGCAATTGATTAGGAGGGAATTCGACATACCAAAAATTTTAACCCTAATTAAAAACAAGTATATGGGAGGAAATTAGGCATTATCCTTTAAAATCCACTTCGGTTGAATCTAATTTTGATTTAATATAGTACAAACTTTCAAAGAAATTTTTAGCAAATTGAAACTACTCAAAGCATGAGTACAATGTGGAAGCATCATGGATTTTTAGTCATAACGCTTCTATTATGTGTTATATATGCATAAAACTCGCTTATCCGAACTGTTTATTTTCCTTTCAAAACTCAAAAACACATCAACGTTAGCCGATATTTGTTTAGACCAAAAGTTGTTTTGCTATACTTACTTTTCAGTTCGGGTAGATAATATAAATATCTACAACACAACAATATTTGAAAACACTGAAGTAGCAATAAATGAACTGTCAGTTTATCTTAAATCTATTTTATTGCAATATTCAGTTTAGATATCGTTAACTAAACGAAATAAAAAATTATTCTTACAATGAATTCTGAACTTTCTTGAGGGGGTGTATTAAATATTTATTAATTTTTAGGCATTATAAAAAGATTATTTGACCCTTTATTTATTCATCATCATAAGGTCGTTAGTCCTAAGATTGGTTAGACACACACCTACACTCTGTCCTATCCTAAGCTAATCTTCGCATATCCCTAAAACTATAAAATCTCACATCCTTAACTATTTGTGAACAGTAATATAATCTAGGTCTACCTCTACTACTCCTGTTTCTGCCACTAATATGTCTCTGACTAGACCATCATGCCTAAGAAGGTGTCCTACCAACCTGTCTCGCCTATTTCTTATTGACTTCTATAGTTCTCTGTTCTCTTATTTTCTCTAATACCTCTTGATATCTGACCTTCTCTATCCACGGTATCCTCATCATTCTCCTGTAACATCACATTTCGAACGCTTCTAACCTTGTCCATGTTTCGCACCCACACAGCGCCGCGCTCCAAACATACACCGTTAACAATCTTTCTCGAATTTCTAAATTAACCGTTCGCGAGCATAGAAGTGACTTCTTTTTATTGAAGGCGATTCGAACGTGCGCTATCCTCTGTTTTATATCCTCACTAACAGTGTGCATTCCTATCTGACTCCCTTCCTAATATTTACTCCTCTACGTTGCAGCCTCATCCATTTAACCGCCTGTTGCTCTTTATACAAACTAAGTATCACTTTTCTATCTTTGTAACTCATCCCTACATTTTTAAGTATATTTAATATCTTGTCCCATTTAACATTGTCAAAAGCTTTTTCTAAATCTACAAATCCTATGTACGCACTCTTTCCTTTTTCTATCGTTTTCTCTATTGCTTCCTGTGAAGCTTGAATGACCTCCCGCGTTCCTCTATTGTTTGTACCCTCCTTTGTACAATTCTAGTTAACATTTTTGACGAAATTTACAATTTTTACTAGTGAAATAACAAACGATTCAAGCAATACGAATTCTTGTTTTTCATAAATGCTTTCGCAAAACCGTTGTTCGTAGCTAAGGTAGTTAGAAACCAATTACCAGTTTGTAGCATACCAAAACGACAAAATTAAATTAGCCACACCCCGTAAGCACATTACTGTAATTAAACTATGGCGGTGAACACTTTAAAATTGTATTAGATCCGTCTAAGTTACTGAGTCCCTCAACGCTGGTGAATTATCTCATCTGTCTATTAAAATTGAACCAGGTAATCTAATAACGATTTGTACTGACGGAAAGTGTGAACTTGCTTGAATTATCCAGCTATTCTAAATTGAGTAAGTACTGAAGAAGACATATAACAGTAAATTTTAAAATATGTTTTCACGTTTATTATTATCCGTTAGTCAGTTTAATTAGATCGATTTCAACAAGAAAATGTTCAGTTTTACATTTAACATTGACTTACATACAATAGGGGGATTTTTGAAGTGAAACTTCTTTACGCACGGTAGGGTAAGTTCGTTTCATGCGAGTTGATATGTAACGAAATCTTGCAACGCATTTCCCCCGCTGTCTGTCCCTATGTATGTTTAGATCTTTAAAACTACGCAACGGATTTTAATGCGGTTTTTTTTAATAGATAGAGTGGTTCAAGAGGAAGGTTTATATGTATAATACATGCATAATATAGTAGATAAACACTGATAATTTTAGATGTTTCTAATGTGATGTCGTAAATAAACACATTTTTTGCGCATATATTGCAAACGCTGGCTGAACCCTACGAGATAGATCAAAATAATGTACTACAGTATTGTACATCTTAAAAAGGTCTACAAAAAAGTCCAGAATGGTATATGTCTATCTCTTAGGAATAACTCACGATAACCATTTTTTATCATTTACATTTTATGAGAAATAATGACTTATTTACGAAGCGATTTTAAGCAATATAACATTAATCTTTATCCAATTAAGTACTTTTAAATACATTGTGCATTTAATATAGATAAAAATGGCCCTTTATAGCATGTAATTTTTATGAATATTTTCGAAGATATTACAGACTTAAAATGCAGGGACATAGCGGTTGCGGCGGTACCGGCCGGTTTGTATTGTCTAATGACAAAAAAGCTGTGATTGTTGTATATAAAGACATAGTATATTTACTATCAGCATTGCACCCGTGAGAAGCATAGTGTACAAATAATACCATCAAACCAATTCCTCAACCCCTATCCTGGTATGTTTGAAGAAGTTTCACTTCAGTAGCGTGTCGTATATAATTACACGTTGTATTTCTTTTTATTGCAATATTTAGGATTAAAAAGATACGTTGAAACTTGATCGTAGACGTGAACAAATTCTCTACGATGTGTATGTTTTCTATTTAGGAATGAGATAAGAAGCAAGTCATAAAAAGTGTTAACGAAAGTTTTATAACGTCGATTGCGAACTATTGTGTTTAATTTTGGCAATGTCGAGAAGAGTAACCAAATTTTATTTAATTTAGCGGCTTTTCCCATATGGCTAGGTTAACTCAGGTTGGGTTAGGTTAGACGTAGTTTTTCCTCTTCCGGTCGTCAAAAACAAAGAGGTTAAGTTAGATACGTTTGGATGTATTTTTTTGTTAATTTATCTGGTCCTTATGTTCCTAGAAACTGAACAAGAACGATAATGAGACGAGGATACTGAAAAATTATTTGTAGAAAGGTGTTGCGAGAAGTCGCCGATTAATATAACAAATTACGATCTTCCGCTACGTCAGTAGTAAGGATGACAAAAGGCTTTAAGAACGAAAATAGTGCCGAAGGAATCCCGTATATCTTTCACACTAACGTAGAATTTACCGACTAACAACCGAATCGGTGCCAAGTTTCCAATTGCTTCGTTGCCAATTGTAACCGAAAATCTTAATGGAACAGTGGCAAGCAGTACGTCTTCTTAGTAAATCCGCATTATTTAGTGTTCCAGGAGTGAAAATTGAAATCGATACGGAGACGCGTCCATTAGTGATATTAATTTTTTCGCGTTCCCAAACTAATTTTTCGTTTTCCATTACTTCTTTTTTTACAAAGCCAAAAGAAAAGGTCTTTGTTGTCGTTTATCCGATGATACTTAATGTCAAAGTTCAAAAAATCCCACCGGGAAGAGAGTAAAATGAGAGTTATCACATTTAAAGTTCAAATGTTACAATGACAAACGTTACAAAACGTGTGGATGTATATAGGGATGATAGGATATCATGTATGCAACATGTATCGATATACTTTTACTTGTAAGGCACTTGTTTCGAAAGCAGGGACGTAGTCAACTTTTTTTGTATAGATCAAGAGTGGATCACGCAGTTGACGATTTTAAGTTCCACATCTATATCGAAAAAAGTAGGTCATGGTGGTCAATATCAAAACTACCAGAAGCAGATCGCCACTTCGATTTTGTAGGATCTCATCAGCGCGTCGCAGATAATTTCGACATAACACAGACAAACTTTACTTGCTATCCAGAGACAGCGTTTTACGAAAGGCGACGTGCTGATGAGACCCAACAAGATCGAAATTACGATCCGTGTCTGGCAGTTTCGAAAGGCTACTGTCCACCATGAACTTCTTTATTCGATTTGGTTCCGTGCCTACCTGTTTCAGTTCAGAAAGTAGATATCCATTAGCGATGTGCAAAATGGTTTTATAAAGAATTTTAAATACAAAATGCAAATACTTTTTTGATTTGTTATTTCAAATTTAAATATAAAATAGATTTCCCTTTTGNTAAATGCAAAATACGTATTTTCAAAATACATTTTTCAAATAAATACTTTTTTGTAATACTTCATTAATTTTCTATATTTACTTAAGTATAAAATATTTTTTAAGAAAACCTTCCAGGCATTTTCTCATTTTTTAAATATTAGAGTTTTTCTAGACTAGTAGTGGTTTTTTTCTTTTTTTTCTGTTTGAAGGGATTGAGATAAAAATTTTTCTATCTTTATGTTATAGTTTCTTCAGTTCAGAAACAAATAATTCTTCTATATGCTTCCTTATTTGCCTTTATCCCCCGTTTTAATTGGAGAAAAGACACTGATGCCAAAATACATAGTTTGCTTAGCGTGAAAGATCAGAGCCAAAATAGGGTTGCAAATAATTTTATTGATGTAAAATATACATCAATCATTTTATATCAAAATATTTACAACCCCATTTTGTTTCTGATCTTTTACACATTGTAATAAGAGAAAGAAATGGAATCCATAGTTTCTTTAGCTTTAGGTTCATCTAATAAGTGAAGTTTTTCGAATTGTTTTCTAAGAATTTTGGATTATAAGTATTTATTAGCACACCACAATATCTCGTAGTTTTCAGATTTACACAGCTGGCGAATATCAGTACGATAGGTACTTGTTGTTTTGCAGGTTGTTTTGTCGTAATTCAAAGAATTTCGTAGTTCCTTGCTAAAGGTACGATAAGTAGTGATTTGGCAGGTGCTTATATTAATTTGGAACTTTAAAATTTCATGGAACATGACATTGAAACCGAAAAACAATATCGATCCAATATTTTAAACTATCCTTTACCAAGGAGTTTATAATTTTTGGGGCTCTCTTCAATTAAAGAATTAGAACGTATTTATGGAATGTCTTTTTGACCCCTTTTTACGCTTCTAATATCTTCAATACTCAATGTGAGCAATTTTCATTCATCATTTTATTTAATGTTTGATCGGTGATGTATGTGTTTTTCATTTCATTTTACAAATAGAAAATACGTTTGGGAAAGTATTTTAAATAAAATACAAAATGTTTTTCCCTTAAAAGTATTTAAATGCTAGATAAAATTTTTAATTCTACCTATTGTTGCGGGGCATCGTTAGAAAAAAGCAAAAGATAGACCTGGTTTTTATTTTTTTTTCTTCGATTTGATAATGTTCAATATATTTATATACATATACCATGAAATAACTACACATTTTATTAATATGTGAAAATTAAAATCAAATGAAAATCCAGAAACTTACTCGTACGATACCAGGCAGTTCTTCGTTTGTATATGAAGCAGTAATCTTACTTTTTGTATCCATAGATTTTAAGTCGTCAGCCATACAAATTACTCTTCCTGACCCGAATAGATAAAGATGGGATATTAATGGATTCTGTTTTAGTAGAAATGTCGTGTAAAAGCCGACGGGAGTGTCCGCTCCCAAAACTGCCACCTTAACAGATTTACTAACTACTGCTTTATGTACATCTTCATTTGTAAGGATTCCAAATTCTGAAATGAAACGTTATCAGGATTTTGATCAATTACAAATTTTCTTCCTCACTGAAACAGTGCATGTATTACTAGAACTAGGCGTAGTTTATTTTCCCCAGGTTACGCTTAATTCATAGGGTTACGAACTCTAAATTTAAAGAGTCCTGAGATCGGATTTGAATAAGTCTTGTGACATTCATTTAAAAACAAATGTACAATAAATAAAAGCCTATTTGTTTTGGATAATCAACTATTACATTAATTTATTTATTTAAATATTTTAACGGCTCCTACGCGCTTTGGCCATTTTAGTTATGGCGACAACTTTGCAGTAATTGAAGCTAACTTCAAGATGGTTGGCGCAAGGAAGACTTTAACTCTTATCTTGAAATGCTAATTTACGTCCTTCACTATAACTGAGGATGATACCTTACGTGTACCATTGGATCTAAATTCTTTATCTATCTCCATTCTAGATTCACATAAATAAGGTTTGTTAATCTGTGGTTAACTTCCTTTATTCCTGCTTAATGACTAAATATGGCTAATTATGGTTTACAAAGCATTTTTATGGTTTCAATAAGATACGTGTTCATAAGGTTTAGTGGTTTCGGGGGACTTGCTTTGGTCAGACTCTGACATACCAAAAAGACATCTTTAGACATTTAGATTATATTTCCTTAGTGGAGGTACATATGGAAGTCGCTCCAGCCGTTATTTTAGCTATCCACTATGTATGGGACTATGAAATAAGAAGTAACATACCTGAAAAACATCTGCGGCTAATTCTAAATGTTCTTCTCAAAGTTTGTCTTAGAATCATCGTCAAAATAGAATTTTTAAAACTTAATTAATTTAATCTTAAGTAAACGAAAGAAGAGGACAGTCAATTTGGACGTATAATTTTACTTGTCATGTTGATTAGTACCTAATAGTAATAATAACTTTCACTGCCTTCTTAAAGTTCTCGACATTCTCCACCATTCGGTTTATTCACATCTTAATAATTTGCTGTTTAATTTTCGTTTTTCATCTTCGTATATATTCCAGCTGTATAATTGTGTTCATTTCGATCTAATTTTTGACTTTTGATTTTATTAATTCATACGTGTAGTGATTAATTTTGGTATATTACGCGACGGTTTACTACTGCCTTCCTAATTAAAATGGAAACAAGAACTACTTCGTACCCTGACTAGTGATTGGCTAAAATATCGATATATCGATAATTATCGATAACAATAATAGCAACTTATAACTATGAATATATCGATATAGTGAAATTTAAATAATTATTAATGTATCAGTAGTTATCAATGAATATCGATATATTGAAAGCTATCGACAATTATCGAATACATCGATAAGTATCGATATATAACGACCAGACTTATAAGAATCTTCAATTAAAACTTTTTTAAGGAGTGCAATTTCCTACATAAAATGCCTTGCTTATTTTTTTTTTTTGAAACATCCTAAGATTAATAGGTATACTTCATTTACTTTCTCTAGCGATGAGCCCCTTCCAATGTCTTGGATGTGCGCTGGCAAAATCGTAGACACGGAGAAAAAAGCTCATTATACTCTCGACTGTTGTTCATTAAACATACTTTTTCATACAGTGCCTGCCAAAAGTTTTGTTCAAGGTCAAAGGTCACATCGCTACAGAAACTAAACGAAGTATATATTGGTAATTATGGATTTTCAGATATTTTTGAGAAAATATAAGTACAAAAATAAGCAACAATTATATCATGAATTAAAGATGATGTATTGTAGCTGAATACAGCGATAGTTATCAGTTTGTTGTTATTATTACTAATGTATCAACAACTACCAATAATCATCGGATATATCGATATTGTATATTGATAGATATCGATACATCGATAGTTCTAATATTGTTATCAATATATTCGAACTTCATCGATAACTATCAATATATCTGTGGATAGTTCTGATGTTGTTATCGATATATCAACAATTATTGGTAATTATGGATATTTTATATAACCGATAACTAAATTAGTTATCGCCCGAGTCTAACTCAGATTAGTTTCGAAAATACAGATGGATCACCCATACTGAAACATAATTCTAGATACATAGTTGTTGTAGAAACGCTGTACCTACCTAAATTAGTAAACGGGGATGTTATTCGATGTTGTAGGAGTAATTTAAAATCGTGTAGAAGTAATTATTGGTCATCAAGGCATTCGCTGTTTTCCGAGAAAATTGCAAATTTCCGTTAATTTTCAACTGGAAATGTTAGCTTACGTCCTTCACCGTTCGAATTCGTATTCGTGATGTTTCTATAGTTTCTACTTTTTGTTCTTCTTGTAATGAAGGAAAATTGAAACAAAATTGAAGGGCGACTAGTAGTAATCTACCTACTACCTATTGAACACGCAATAATGATCTAGGCACTCTTTTTTTATATGTACATTAGAGTGTTCTTGTTTTTATTAACTTTTCCTTTCTTAAAAACCATGCATGAAAAGATTACTGTCGATGTTGTTAAAGTTAATTCTATTAGAATTTTCATGTTAATTTTAAAAGGTTCTTTCGTATTTTTAATGTTACTCTTTTAAATTATACTACTATAAACTTCTTTTAGTTTAAATTGAGTAAGTTCTTTGTTAACATTTTGTCTAAACTATTAACGCTGAAGATTTTTAAAATTAAAACTGTTATCTGCTGAAAGAATTTTTTCAACTTCTTAGTCAAGTCATCAATGTTTTAAATAATTTGTTAAAACAATTCTATTATCCTATAAAATAGAAAGAATATAACGGATACAGACAAAATGTCGCAGGTATTGATTTTGAGAGTCCTTAATCACGTCAAAATGCTGCATTAATTAAATTCCGGTCCTATTTCTAAATTAGGAGTTTTGCAGGTCAATGCTGAAGTATTTATAGCCGAAATAATCCTTCGGAGTCCTTATTATACAAAATGGAACTTAAATACATATAAAAGAATTCTCTAATTCAATTGAAGTCATTCACCATTATAAGGTCGTCAGTCCTAAGACTAATTGAACACGCACCTCCACTCTTTCTTATCCTGAGCTAATCTTCGCATTTCCCTAGAACTAGAACATCCCACATCCTTAAAGACAACACTTACCTTATCATTCAATAAAGATAAGTAGGTACATCATTTCTATGAAATTTATTTAAACCATTATTCCGATGAAAACCGTAAGATGGCGTAAGCGGGGATTGTGCATGCGCAGAAACGAGTGAGAGCTATCAAAAATCCTAAAAACATTCGGTACCTATTGGCTTATAATATCCTCTACTTTTGCAAATAAAATCAAATATATTTTTAAAATGGTTTTTATTATAAAAGTACAAAAATACTACTAATGATAATTTTAACACATGTAGAGAACGAATTTAATTTGTTTTTACTTGTAGTTATTACTATGGCACGAGATGCATATACAAGTAAATGTATATGTTTTAGTAAAAACCTATTTACTTACATAAAATTATGTCACTATTTTTGTGATGTTTCTATTTAAAATACAACTTCTGTGCTGTGTTTTTCCAATACAAAAATATTAAAAAAAATTAACGTCTAATTCTTCTGAAATTTGAACTTTTAGACACCGGTTTCACAGAGCTTGCAATCTTGGCAAGTAAATACGTCATATAACTAATCTTATACATAAAACGTATAAAAAGCAAACGATATATACAAAAACCTATATCACTTTAATCCTGAACCAATTAGCTCTCTTTTCTTCTCATATTTAAACTTCTCTGTTGTCTAGCACTTCTCGAAAAGGGTTGATTTTCATTCGTCACCAAATAATATCGGCCTCTAGGTGCATTGCTACAATAAAAATCGCAAAAGATTAATTAATAAATTATTAGGTAAATAATGTGTGGGACATTATTCCGTACCTTCGTTGGTATGGGAAGCCCATAAAAGCATCGACAGTAAAGTTACACTGCCCTTCTCCAGAAAGCCATTTTTGACATTTTGTTGCCGGGAAAGCTTGCGGATTTTTAATTGATTCGGAAAATAGTCTCCATGCTCTAACATGACTACAAGCCACTAGAATTTATAGAAATTATTTCAATTTTTATCATTGCTATGCTTAACGTATTAAATTGAAACAAATGAGAAAAATTAAGAAATATTTTTCGATAAGTATTTAGAAAAAACTTACCAATTTGATCTGCAAGTTTCGAATTAAAAAAGTCTCTGAATTCCGGTCGACAGCCCGGCTGTAGTGCGGTGCCGCCATTCGGGTAAAAATCTGCATGCCCTATGGGATAGGGGAATCCCAGAATGCCCGCATCTGTATGTATAACATCCACATAATCTGCATCAGTCCTTTTTAGTCGATTTGTACCTAAAACATTGATATATAGGTTTATATATTTTACGCCCCTGTTCAATGTTCACTCACTCTTTGAAGAATAAAGGGGAAAAGCTGGATCTAATCCAGTTATCCTGGAAATTCTTAAACCCTTTTTCAATCTTTTGGCAGCACAACCGGCAATGTGAGATCCCAAACTAAAACCAATGAGGTGAACATTTCTAATCGGTATTTCCCCGGTTTTATCGTAAAACTCCAGGAACTTCGCCAAAACTTTCGCAACTACCATTGTGTTTTGTACCGCTTCGTTATACCAGGGCAGTGTAGCAATTTCAGACCAATCTACCAAAATAACATTCACAGGTTGCTCCAAACTCATGTAGGCTATTTAAAAAAGGAAAAATATTATATATAAAAATGTTATTATAGGCATTGCTTGATAAATTTCTAATGTTTTTAACACTATGCGCATGCGTACTCATTCAAGCACGCTTTTCTACTACCTGTTTTAAAGCATTTTACTTGTTTTGATTTAACCCACTTAAAGCAAAATTAAAGACTAACTAGGAGGCATTGTAATTGGTTTTAATAGGACTGAAATTTTAATTTTTAATAAAACAAATAGTCTGTGTGGGCAGCTTATCTAGAATATTAATAAAACAGGAATGTTTATTAAGTTTTATTTGTTACTAAGTAGCTGCGTGTTTTGTTGTGAAGTTCTACTTCAATTTGTCATTGTGGTCAAAGCTTTGTCATAATAAAATTATGTTAACTATTCACTAGAAAAGCACAATAAAAGTTGCGAGGTTGAATGAAGTCTACTTTTAGAAACATTTAAAAGCATCTTTTATACATTAACTTGGGAACTCATTTTTTTTAACCCACCTCCCATTCTCCCGGGAACGAACGTCATCCTTCTTATTTACGGTGTAATGAAAAGAACCATCCTTACGACTGTATATTTGGATTAAATACTTCAGTAACCTTTGCCCTTAACAAATTAATATTCTTCGTAACATCGTCACAAAATGTTTACGTTATTCTTTTATAAAATGTTTTATACATCAAAAAATAAAATTGAATTGCGTAGTTATTATATAATACTGAGGAAAATTAGCAAGTCGTTTTTTTATAGACACAAACGTAAAGAATAAAGGCTGGGTAAATATGGATAATTAAACATTAAATGATAACAAAGAACGTGTGAGTTTATGAAATTAATGGTTCATACTAATTAGTGAAACATAACAACAACTGATTTTATTACATAGGAGATTACCAAAAACATTTCCGAATTTTTATTGTTTATTTACTCAAACCGATTTATAACTTACAATTAGATTCTTTAACTGATTTAACAACTTGAGGTATTGTTGATTCCATCTTGATATTGTAGGTAGAATAAACAAAAGACATGGAAAATTATCAGCATGATGGACGCTAGCCGCCATAATGTAAATGTTAGGAATGCAGTTGTTTTAATATTCGAACGTGTTTGGTATAAAAAACAACGATTGAACGAATTATTTCAATAATGGACATTATTTTCATAATTAGGTCCTAGTTTTAGGTTTTATTTAAATTAAATATAATAAGTTTGAAAAAATGCGTTGTTTCTTACCGTTTACGATGTACCTCCCACTCGGTCCGGACCACGATTCTGAAAATCCATGAATGAAAATTACAGTATAAGTGTCGTCATTTATCCCTATTTGTCTAAGGGCTCCAACTTTTTGGGGCGGAAGACGTATCCCATTGTACTGCCTGTTGTATAAAAAGAAGCGGACATGTTCGTTTACGTATATTTGGCAACAATGCAAACAGTATCCTCTTGGGGCCAAACTAATTTTTATTTCATTTTCGCCTGGAATGAAAAAATTCTATAAATAATTCAAAGTCCGGTCTTATCGTATCAAGGCACGTGAATATAGTCGGGATGTCCAAAATTGGCATAAAACTGTCGCCATTTATTTTCTTCTATCAACTTACTAACCAGTAAGTAACTATAACTATAATAACTATAGCTTTTGTCTACAGAATGACTATTTTTACTCACGGCAGACGTTGTAGAGAGAGATGCCAGGTAGGAATTGCCGCGGACACTTATAAAGAAAAAGGAATAACATTACACGAATTAATGTATAACAGAAAGAGACACAGACAATCAGAATTTGACCATGTTGCCAGCATCGCACTTTAAAGAATGTTCAACTTTTCCTAATTTAACAAGAACGTGTTCAAAACGCAGCAAATGACTGCAGTCCCAAGAGGAAACAAGAAAGAAAATACGTTCATTGTCACAAATAATTTATTACGGACTTTACCAATTTCAATCGTACTAACTATATCCACTATTATCTACCATTTTGGACGTCGGCCGTAGCTAATAGGTCTTGGTTGACTTACTATATAACAATCTACATCAAAAAATCAAGAAATAAATATAAATACAGTTTAATATCTAGAAATAACCACAGTATGGATTTTTATTCAAATTGGAAATACTTCTAGATTGAAACTGAATCTAAATTATTGAACTGACACTTGCTGTTATCATTTTTATTGGTGCGACCCAAAATGGCGAAAGATGATAATAGCCATGTCTTTAGCACTTTAGGTGCCGTTCTAAAAGTCACCAACCATAGAAATCAAATAAAAAAATACAGGAACTACAAAAGTGCTGTGGTATTACAAAAAATGTAGTTCCTGGATATTGGCAATTAGAATCTCCACTTTCATTTTCAAATTTAATACCATTGTATTTGCTTAAGGATGCAATAAATCAGAAAATTACTTGCAAAATTTTTTAGAACCGTTGGAAAGTAAAAATCTATTCCGTTTTATCATGTCGAAATTTGCCTTATTAGCCTTAAGCTATTACTCTTGGAACAAGACTGGGCTAAACTCTCACCAAAAAGCTCCAAGCTCTAATCCCAAAGCATCAATTGCATTTTAAAATCTTATCATAAGTTCTACCTCGAAAGAGAGATACGAATATTCTTTTTTATCAAATGTAATTTCGCAGGTATAGAGATATGTATGAAAGTGTACATTTTATTGATATTTTTCTACATCATATTTTAAACTGATGTCGTCTTTTTCACTTTTATACACACGTAAAGTAAGCATTTATATGAAAAGTGGCCGATTTACCAGAGTATGAAATTTCGCTTAGAATTAACAACCCGTTTGATTTAAACTCCACTGAATTATTTCAACCGTAAAGTTATTCCATTAATCGAATCGATGAAATATTTGAATTTAATGTGTATGCTCTCTACCCAAAAATACTTTAAAGCGTTATTGTTTCTACAGAATTTACGCTTTGATAGAACAGTAGTATACACAAAAGTTGCTTGTTAGTTGTGAAGTTCCACGTAATTTAAAATCTCCATTATTTAAAAGTGCCTATTGGATATAGTTTGAAAGTATTAATTTTGCTTTAGTAAAGTGTTAATTATATTTTTATTTAAACTCCAATTCTATCAAACATGAATCACTAAAGTACTATTTAAAGTAGCTTTTAAATATTACTTAACGTCTTCCTCGAAGAAAAGCACTTTCAGTAGTGCCTTCTTTATTTTTCTTTCAACTGCAATTAGAAGCCTAATTAATTGGTAAATAATGAAAGTTTTTGTTTCGAGCCTTTTTATAATTAAGTACCAAAACAATCGATAATTTCCTATTAAGAGCTCTTTCCTTTCTTACTTTAGAAAATGGATAAGCAATTTTTCTTTTGTTACGGATTTGGTGTGAAGCCTTAGTATCAAAAGCCTTTTGAACTGTAGCTCAAGTGGCAAACGTTGGTGTTAATGAATGGTTCCGTAGTTCAGGTCATAAATTCAATTACCTTTTAAACTCTTTTTATCTTTTTTAAACCCAGTACAAAACCGCACCCCCTGATTTAACACGATATGTATCGGAAAATAGTTTAAAATGATTTACGTTACAATTGTTTCCCTAGATTTTAGCTATAATACAGTGGTGGATCTTGCATAAGGTCGTAAGGAAATGTGACTCCTCCAATAATGTTTCGTTAAATAAATTACAGTTGCTTCAAATAGTTTAACTCATAAATCCAACGGAAGTAATAATTTTTCGTGTACTCTTGCTTATCTAGTCTTAGTCTTGCATATTCGGTCTTGATCTTAGTCTTGGCCTTGACCTTACTGGCATAAAGACAGTCTTGGTCTTGTCTTGGGCTAGCATTTTCGCAAAACCAATACTAAGAACAATTTTGCTCATCATTAAAGCGGTTAAGGTATAAAAGACGAAATGGACGAAAACAAAAGATAGTAAAAGATTAAAAGACTTGTGCGGAATATTAATCTTTCCCATTTTCTTCTATAACACATAAATATACTTCGTTTACTTTCTGTAGCGATGTGACCTTAAGTTTGACCGGCGCAAAGTAGAAAAGAACAGCACTAGGTCAGAAAAGGAAGCAGACAACTCTTGGCCAAACTCCTAACCGGTGAGGAGCGTATAATCCGTACAGTACTGCACGGAAAAATTGACCATTTTATCCACTACAATTGCATTGCTCAAATGTGAAAATATCAACGAGATGTTTATTTATATTTGAAGACATATTAAAGGCTTTAACGCTTGTTTTCGACTCGCACTACTATTCACGATTGATCAAAACTTTTAGCAGGTACTGTATGAAAAAGTATGTTTAACGAACAAGAGTCGAGAGTATAATGAGCTTTTTTCTCCCTACCTACCTACGATTTTGCCAGCGCGCATCCAAGACATTGTAAGGGGCACATCGCTACAGAAAGTAAATGAAGTATACCATGTATATAGACCTTCATTTCTTTGATTCTTCTTCTTTATTTTGAAATGATACAGGGGTGACTTTTTTAGTAGCGTATTTTTCTAAGAAAGTTAAGTTTGTTTTGTTAATTCAACTTACAGTACCTACTTCTAGGAAACCCGCGAGCCACCACTGCTTTATTACCTTTTATCTTGTCATATTTTACAATAGCTACAACAACTTTCGTGATTTATTGACAAGAAGAACGGTCCCAAGCGACGACGCTTCTACCCTTGTCTGCCTATTCCATTTCCCCTCAATCATCCCCCAAACTCACCCCTGTCGGTCATCGATCGTTTCGTGTGGAAATCACCTGAGGGATTTTAAATGCATGTCGATAACATTGTACCGATAAGAACAACGATACACGCGAATAAGGGATGAAAAAAGCCGACGAGGGTAGACCGAATGGCACAAATTACGCGGTTTACGTGACCCGCAATACATACCGAAGTTCAGGGGTCCAATTTTTCTAAAATGATGCTCGTAAATGTCGAAGTACATGGCAAACGTTATAAACAAATGAAGGACAATCCATAAAAAATGTTACTGTGTAGCAAACATACAGAATTAACTCAAAAGCTTCATAAAATCATATATAAATAGTTCATTGCATGTTCCAAAAGCTCTTTGGAAATTTAATGGTAGTGGAAATACAATTCCTTGAAAAGCTCTTTCCTTTTATACACCAGTTCTTAACAATGCAGCCTATTTAACTTAATTTTGTGATCACAAGAAAACATTACTTATATAAGAAGTGAATCAAAATAACAAACAGGAAGAATATCATGAAATAAAAAATTATCCACATGAAAGTTTCGAACATTAAAAACAGTTTGTTTTCCTAAATAAACTACCAAAAGTTTATTTTGTTATCAAAATAATAAGCTGTTCTAATGAGTCGTTAAAAAAAAAAAGACAAACATACTGGTATGCAAAGGAAGAAAGGGTAGGGAAAGAGTAAGTACAAAGATAGGAGACGAAAAAATCGAAAATGTAGCTGAAGATAACGTAAATAGAACAGGTTAGAAATGTGGAAGTATTTGAATTGTGAGAATTACCTCAGGATAGCAAAGAGTGGAAATGCGTGTCCAAGCAGTCTTAGGATTATCAACCTTATACTGATGATGATTTAATTTTATTTTGCGAAATAAATTATTAACATATAATTCTAATTTAAAATTTATTAAACATTTAGTAGCTAAATCGTGAAACTGTAATTCGTTTTCAAAAAATTTCCCTCCTGGCTAAAAATCTTTAGAAAATTGCATCATACAGACTTTAGAGACACGAAACCGTCTAAAGACGAATTCTTCGAATGCCGAAAAAAAGTAAGAGAGAAAAGCATTAAGTGTTTTCCAGAAATAACGATTTTCAGAAGACATTTTATCCACCTCAACTGCGTGCTTCAATTTCTCGTCTATATTTATCCCCATTAATAATTCAAAAAGATTTTCCATCCAGCCTCCGAGAGCCGGACCGCCTCGAGTTGATTAAAAAAAAAAAAAAAACGAAAATACAATTTTTCTCATCTTGACTGTGTCAATTAAATTTTCCGATCCAGTAATAATATTATTCGAGGCACCAACGCCATTACACTTAATTCAACAGGTCGAGAAAATCAAAATTAAACGCGATTGTTAATTGAATTCCGTGACACATGCAAAGCTATTAAAACTGCTTCTGAATTCGTTGGAATGAATAAGTTTTCGTAGAAATTGTTCAGCAAACTTTTCTAAGTGCGTGTTTTAACTTTGAACCTTTGTCAAAGTTCCTTTATTGTTATACTGTCAAAGTTCCTTTTTTTTAAATGTGGTATTTTAATTGATTTATGAAATTGTTTCATGTTGTTACCAAATGCGTTATTTGAAATGTAACAACTAAAAATGCAAATAATGGTAAACGTAATTAGTATTCTTAATTTTCGAAACACTTTAGAATTCTAATTGGTGTTTCAAAAGTAATTTACATTTTGTATTTTACACTGCCCTGATTTTGATCATTATTTACATTTAGGCATCTGTACCTGTTTAAAATCAAGTTAT